TATTACACCTCTAGGCAGACTTACAGCGAATAGACCATTAGATCTAGTCTTTATTGACTTTACTCTTCTTGAAAAAGCATCCAATGGAATGGAAAATGTACTTGTGATCACAGACGCATTCACAAAGTTCACAATCACAGAACCCACCAGAGATCAAAAAGCTGAGACTGTAGCTAAAGTACTAGTGAGGTCATTTATCCAGATATTTGGCATCCCACACAGAATACATAGCGACCAAGGAAGAAACTTCGAGAGTGAGGTCATCAAGTGTCTTTGTAAGATGTATAATATAGAAAAATCAAGAACAACGCCATACCACCCCTCAGGAAACGGCCAATGCGAAAGATTTAATAGGACGCTTCACAACCTTCTGATATCTCTTGAACAAGACAAGAAGAGAAGATGGCCTGATTATATCAAAGAACTGACCTATTGTTATAACACAACACCACACAGTTCTACGGGATACTCCCCCTTCTTTCTGATGTTTGGTCGAGAACCGAGACTTCCAATATCCATTCAGCTAGGTGTTGACGATGTTGATACTTGTGACAAGGATAAAGAAAACAGGTTCAGAAAGAGAACAAAAGTTGGATAGTAGAACATGAAAGAATATTGAAAGAAGCACACACAAAAGCAGCAATGAAAATAGACAAAGAAGCAGACAGAAGAAAAGAAATCTTTGACAAGAAAGCTAGAGAGACTGTTATAGAAATAGGATCAAAAGTTCTTACCAGGAAGAGAATACAAGGAAGAAATAAAATCCAAGATTCTTTTGAAGAAGACATATATACAGTTGTACAAAGGAAAAATGATGTTTACACGATAGAAAATAAGTATGGAGCGAGAAAAACTGTAAACTTAGTAGACTTAAAAGAAGTTCCACAGAAAGTAAGAGGAATAAAACAAAACAAACATGAAGATGTGCCTGAAACTGAGACTATCAGGAGATCAAAAAGATTAGCAGCTCAGAATGACATGATGTAGACATGATGTCAGAAAAATTGAGATATATATTTTATCGCGTTTAGTGATTTGCGATAAGCGTTCTGTAATAAATGTTATTTTCTTAACTATTGTTCTATTTTAATAATTCAAATTACTGTTATATGTTACTGTTATTTATACTATAAAAGAAACACAATACATATATAAAAAGTTACTTTGTTAACAGAGCATAATTTTATTGACTACCATTTTAAGGTAGTGGATGTTAATTAGGGGAGGATAATCCTTCATAATGGTATTTCATAATGTTATTTTCTATGTTCCACGTGTGTGTGACATTTTGTTGTTAGAATTTAATGTATTTTATAATTCCTGTGGTAGCAAGAGCAAGGATAATTTGGGACAAATGATGACGAGTCCGCGTGTGTGTGACAGGATGTTTTAGATTTTCAAACCCTACTGTGGAGAGTTATATTTTTATGTATTTCAATTATATTTTCAAACCCTGCTAGGAGAATAGCTTTGATTTACACACAGTGTGCACATGCAAGGGGATTAACCTTGATTGCATTTACTTTCCAAATCACCAGTGCTAGCCTTGATTTTGAACTGTAAAGACATGGTAAGAAATTTTCATATATTTTTGTCACTTTTTACCCTTTAGAATATACCAACATTATGCCAATTGTATTCATTTTATTCTCCATAACTTTAGCTCCAATTTGATGTAAATATTATTTTTGTATTTCAAATACTTTTGAGTAATTTCTTTGTAAAACTTGAACAATGTGTTGGAACAATTGTCCATAAGGTGATGTTCGTTTCATGCACTTGTGCGTTATTCATTTACAATTAAAACCACCATTTATGTCATTTCATATGACTTATCTTGGTACACACGTTTTACAGGAGACACTGTGTGCGTACTAAAGATGTATGGCTAGCACTCAGAGACTGTATAGCTTATTTTATAAGGTACATTCCACATTTTATTTTATATTGCTCAATTGTAAACCTTCATGGTACATTTTGCATAAAGTAACTGAATTATATTTATATTTGGTTATTTCAATAGAGAAATGTATGTAGTGCGTCAAGCACAGTATAAGGGTTTTCTTGGGAACAGAATAAGGGCCCTTTAAGTCCCATAGCCCTTAGTACTAAGAAGTTTATCATAAAACTGTATGTTTCATTATTGTATTTTACCTGCTTTACAAACAGCTATTTGTACATTACTTTTATTTGCAGCTCTGGGGTACAAACTAGGTGCACAGCCTTAAGCATTTGTGGTTTTGGTCTTAAGTGAGTTAGTGATTTAGGTAGCTTGAATACAAGATCAGTTAGTGATTTAGGTAGCTTGAATACAAGATCAGTTAGTGATTTAGGTAGCTTGAGTATTAAGATCAGTTGAGAGATTTAGCTCATTTGTATAACATTTTGATCATTTGATTGATTATAGGGTTGAATACATTTTAAATACATTTTATATTCTTATTCTGTTAATTCGATTTGTAATGTAACCCACGTCCACTCCCCCATGGTTACACTAATAAGATATAGTTTACAAGTTAATGAGACTTTAGAGGTAATAAGTCTTGAATATGTATCAAACTCCCGGATCAAACTACCCAAGCATTCATTGATTTTAAGGTAAATTTGCAGTCCAAATCCCTGTGACCGTTCTCTTATTCAGCTAATATATTGTCTGGTAGCCTTATTCATCCGTATTTGTCGCGCTACCTAAAAATCGAAAAGCCTACGTTGTTTCCATAGAAGGGAAAAGTTATTTGTTTCAAATTGCTCCCTTTGGGGCTATTCAAGGGTTAAACCATAGGCAAAGGTCGATAGAAATACTTTTTAAATAAAGATGGCATGGTAATCGACTGGATTCTGTTGGTGCTGCCATCTTTATATCGGCCAAGAACCTATGGGTTGATCATGTACTCACTTGTATAATTCGTTTTAGTGTCACCAGTAGCTCCCTCTAGTTGATCGTCATCCATGGCTTTACCTGCCATCTCAAATGCTTCCATGTTTTCCCAAGGATCGCCAAGCTTTTCCTCCACGTAAGTGTCTACATCAATGGTAGTTTCATCTTGGACCTGATCTTTTGTTTGGATGTCTGCAAGAACACATGTATATTCATGGGATATCTATGATTGATAGAGAGACCACGGGCGTCTTCTTTTGAAATTAAGATGTGAAAATATCCTTCGTCTGTACCGAAAAACCACGATGCTCCTCCGTCAATCATGTGAAACTACGTGTATTTTACAATTGTTTTGCATACTCACTGAAGCTGGTATAGTTATCATTGTTAATATTTACCAACCAGATGCAAGGGATATAGATATAAAAATACTTTACGTGCTGAAGGGTTTTGGTAAATATATTCATGATACCATATTACTGTATTTGGAAACAGACTGTGTGACAAGTTATGGAATTCAACATATATAAATCGTGCTCTAAATATTGTATGCATTTACTATTGCAATTTCGGCTGCAATTGGCGGTTGACTATGCACCATTCTTTCAGAATTGGGCATAATTAAATTGTTCAAGGATGTCACTTTGTGATTACCAGACTCTAAATTCGAGCAATAACGTGGTAATGGTCAATGGTATCTACCAAATATTGAGATAGTTTGAAATAATGCGACCTTCATTTCTGTAAAACAACTGTTTATTTACATTCAATTCAACTCATTTTCAGTAATTGTTGAAAACAAGTTCTACATTACGACATGTCGTAATGAAATGGTATATTTACTCACCTGTAACATCCGCTCCAAATCCACCTACAGCTCCCACTAGTTGGTCGCTATCAATGTCTTCACCTGCTACATCAATGTCCTGCCACTGGGACGTTATTTTCCCATCAGCATTACTCGCTGCTTCCTCTTGGCTTTGATACTTAGTAGGGATTTCTACAGAAACATTTGTATTTTTTAATTCAGTAAATAGTTTGTATCAACAAGAGCATAAATAAAATAAACCTTTCTATATCACAGAACGCCATGTTACCATGTTGATCGCACTACTACAGACTAGCCCTATTTCGCTAAACACGTTGAATATTATATACTGATGATATTGATGATTTTCATATTATGACCGTCCTCAATTTGTGTATGATAGAAGACTCAGCTTCTTATTGTTGCGGTGCTTCTGTAGTCTGAGAAACGCTTAATTAAACTGTCAAAATTAAATAAATGCAAAGATGGGTGCCCTTCCCACGTAAAATTAAATGCCGAATCTAAAATCAATTGCCAATCATCACAGCAAGTTCGAATAAAGAAGCAACCTCTACCTGCTTTAAGAACAACACATTGTCTATTGAAATAGCTACGAAAATTTCACTCACTAGAGCTTCCAGTTGCTCCTTCGAGTAATTCGCCTTTCGTTATCTCTTCTTCTGCAAGGGAGGCCTTTTCACCAAGTTGTACTTCCGTTTCAGCTTTTGACAGAACTAGGTTATTGAGATCAGTTGAAATATCAGTTGCATCTTGGAGGAAAGGAGACTGCGTGGCTATTCCATGCTGGCCTGAATCGTATTGTTCACGTTCTGCTGTAAGAAAAAGCAGGTTTATTTGAATGGTAATTCGACTTCTAGTGTAGTCCGACATTTGCAAAAATACTCGTCTATGTGGGAAACCAACAATCGGAGACAAGTAATGTTAAACGTATCATTGATATCTTCAATAAGCCAAGACAATATAAGACATCTATGTCCCTAAGTTTTTCGACACCAGATCGGTCAATTAACGTGCGTAACCCCAATCGTCTGCAAAGGGGTCAATTTGACCACGTTCGATATTTTCAACAGTACTTGTAAGTAGAGGGGTAGACAGGGCAGTTATGGTAGTTGGGATTTGTAAATAAAATTGAAAATTCAAGAAATATTGATTGAAAACTACGAATACTTATTATTATAGTATGTGGAATAAAGTTAAAACATCAATTTTTAAGAATAAAAAAAATTAAGCTGTGTTCATCGAATTGACTTAATATTGACTGGTCATCATGGACGTACCAATCGTTTTACCCTGGCAATCACGAACAAATCCCTCGTCTAAGGTTAATTTCACCGTGAAAGATGTTCCGATATATTTCTCCCTCGTATCTTCTGGAATCAATAGCTCAACCAAAGTCAGTGTCAATGAGCCAGTGTGGAAGTCTTCGATCAATTTTGCTGCTTTCTGCTGATCAACTACTTTCACTTTCATCACAAGTGAACCTTGAGCGCTATCTTTATGTTCAACTCCTTTTTGCAATAGAAAGTCTTCCAATGGTTGTTTAAATGTGGGGTCCGATGCAGTTTTAAAAGCCTCTTGCTCGATACTGATATCTTGTTGAACTGTACTTGTGGCTCTTGACAAAGGACATACAGTAATGCCCATCCCTTTGTCCTTCGTTGTGATTTCAATATGTATTCCAGGCGACCCTAAATTGCGTATACAAATCAAATCTGAGAATTCAGGGGTAACGTGTGGAGTATAATCTAGCTATTTTCGCAGAAAACAATCAAAGTAGTTTACAGTAACCGTCATAAAAAAACAAAGATAGCTTCAGCTGCTATATTTGTGAACGCTTAGCAATGGTATGCATTTGATCGCTACAGTAACCGTCATAAAAAACAAAGATAGCTACAGCTGCTATATTTGTGAACGCTTAGCAATGGTATGCATTTGATCGCTAAACCCCATACTGAGAATCTCATAGACCTTGATGGTGTTGTTTTGCGAATCAAAAAGGCATTCATAAACAAACGATGACAAAATACAGATACGTGTTACTTTCTTAGACGTGTCGCAAAAAGGTCGCGCACGCATTGTTACCCATTTTCGCTTTTTAACACCACAGAATGTGACGTTTTTTTGAGAAAAATGTACACATATGGAAATCCTTTCGTCCTCCACATTTGCCTCTATATCTCAAAATATTTAAGGCAAATAACGCTGATATCGTATATGTATTAACAATGGGATAGGAGCATCATAAAACACGAATCAATTGATATTTTAGGTGAAATAAATATACGTGTTGCTTTGCTTGAAAATAGGCGAATGGCGTAAATTAGCCCTATTTTAATGAATTCTGAAAACCTTTCGTCCTCCTCTTTTCCACATACAACAGAAAACACATACTTTTGCGAACAAAATCAACTATTTATTAATAAACTAGAGTTTAAGAGCAAAATAATCATGCATGATTTATTAAAAATTGATCTCGTATTTTTGGTTTAATGTACACCTGAAGAGTTGAAGGTAACAAAAAATGAGCAAAAAAGGTCGCTGTCAACAGATTCTATTTTTCAAAGTCTATGACGTCACAATATGGGACGATTACTAAAATTCATCCTTTGAAATAAAACTTCCATCTACCTTTATCAAGACGAAAAATAAGTATAATAGTCATATATTGTTTGAGTTATGAGCGTTTAAAGACGAACAATTATTCAAGATGTAACGTGTCAACAGGGGATATTTGCCAGATGTTTTGGTAAAAATTCTTTTTTAAAAAAGAACGCGCAAGAATCGTGAACGGAGTGTAGTTGATCTAAAAACCTCATCGAAACAGCTTTAAAATGATATATAACTTTAATTAGAATATTATCTCATAATCCGGGGAATCAAAGTTACATTGACGCAATACCCTTAAAAAACAAATGCGCCACCTTTTTGCGACACGTCTTATAATTCAAGATTCGGTCTCCTATAGTGATTTTTTTCAATTTCCAACTTTTAATTACTGGACGTTGCCTTTCTTCTTCAAATATCCAGTATTCCAAACCGGTAGCAATTAAAGACCAAAAAGGATCACTTTAATTTAAAACAAATGATTAAGAACAAATAATTTGGAACAGTTTACCATGAGAATGACATTATTTGTTAATATTTGTTTTTGTGCAACCCTGAATTTTTGCACGATTTTTCACGTCAACTGACAAGTAGGCCTAAAATACATCTTATCAATAAATAATTAAAACGATTAAATAATATAAATATCGACTTGCAAGTGGTACATACTTTACCTGGTGGGATATGTGGTATATTGAATGAAATTGGAGCAATTCCATTACTCGGGGTTATCAACAGTTCGTCACATCGAGACATCGAACGAGAAGTGGCCGCTATAGCTGCAACTAAAAAGGGAAGTTGTGAGCGATCGATTCGATTTCAATAATATTGTTTGTGATGATTTTTGACACCGGTTCCTAATATAAGGATTTGTCAATTTTCCCTTTAAAAAGGTACCTCACTGTGTAGTGTGTACCATGAGTCGTTTAGTTTCTATCTGCCACGCTCATAATCAATTTTTGAAATCAGATTCGTCAGTTTCTGATGATTCTCACAATATGTCGATACCTATTGACTTACTGGATGTCCCTTTGGCTGCCCTGACTTTATTTGCAAGATCAACCTTTCCTATCTCCTGAAGTGCAACTGCAAGAATTTGTATTTTGTCAGCATCCATCTCCTGCCTTTGTCTCCATTTGTTTAATACGAGGAACACCCATTGGCTAGAACTGTGTGGGTTGCTTGTTTTAATGGATTCGATTTCAGAATATTCCAGGCCAAGTAACAAACCCATGTCAAAGTACTTGTCTGGTTCTATTTTTCTTGCAATCAAGTACAGATATCGCTCATTTAGTTCATCTGGAAAGGGAATAGCTAGAAATGTATAATATCATCAATACAAAGCATGTGGAGCATTATTGGATCCTTGGTGATTTATGAAGTTGACTACTTTTAATTTTCAAAATTTTACAGTTTCCACAGTATTATAACCAACTGAACCAAGGACTACAGTACGTCACAAAATCAGCTGTTAGGGCGTTTGTATACAAAAAAACTAGTCAAGCTCAGACTTTGAATATATTGGAATAGATATAAATCATTATAGATCTGTCCATTTGCTTAGCTTAAATGTATCACCAAAAGAGGAATGCCACTAATAGAATTCAGTTGTTTCTATTACATTTGATAAGGTTTCTGACAGATCGTTCTTACCAGAATCTTCAAGTGCTCCACGAGACTCGTCATATGCACGATCTTCGACTTCCTTTTGAGAAGCATCACTCTTTGTTGGTAAACCCGCCATGCCAACTTGTTACCGTTGGATCCACTGCCTCTTATCACCGTGTTGGTGTTACCACCATGTTGCCCTTGGTAACGCCATCTTAACTAAGCAAATAGCTATAAATGAAGAATTAAATAAATAACAAAACCAGATTTGAACAAAACTTGATTAAAAAAAACTCACATGGGCATTATTGTCAAGGTGGTTTCGAAAGATAGGTGTCAGATTGGTGAGAAGTTAAACTCTCTGCTGAGCTCTAAAAATCGACCATACATGGAGTGGTGGTAAGGTGGAAATTAGGGAGTTTCACAATGGAAAGAAAATGTGTAATTTACCCCCTCTATTTCGTGTAACAGATTTTGCAACTGATCCCCTGAAGAAGTATTAATCTATTGATAACCTCTGATCGCGCTTCAATCACTTGATCGTGTTCGTATCATGATAACGTTCCAAAGGTAAACTTTTTAATAGATCGTAGACGTCGCCTAGTAGTTATCTAGGGATGACCTAGATTTTGTATCATTCGAACAAGTTTTTTTGAAATTTACATTTATCTGGTTTAGAATTTTAAGTGAAATGATTGGTTTATGAATTTCCCAAAACACCATTTTCGTCATTTGGGATGACTCCAGTTTGCCTAGTCCTATTGTCGAAAGATAGAAATGCATAAATCATTAGCATCGATACTGGGGAGTCAAACTTACATAACGTATTCCTTACTTATTTGGAAAAATCAAACCATTAGAAATGACAAGGTTTTTACGATTAAGCCTACGTGACATATTACTTACTAAATGAAACAAAGCGATGAATTATCTCAAACTAAAGTCGTATTTAGAAAACTTATCAGGGTAGCATATTTGATTATTAGATGGGCGGTACCTTTATTGAAAACATCCAAGATACACCTCAGTCATAACGTTTGCCTCGAAGGTACGCCATTCCCTTTACATTTCAAGGAATGCTTTATATACTGATATAGCAATAGTGAAAATTATCTGGTTCTTACAACGATAAGTCATTTCGTGAAATACAAATTCTCAAACTTACCTATCCCGACATTTGGGTTTGTCGAATCCAACCGTTTGCAATGTCTGACCTTCGTGTCGAACACAATTGATCGATGCTGTTTGCGTTTTAGTTTATCACCTACTCAAGATAATTTTTATCAACTTTATTTGTAAAAACTTCAATTCTAATTTAGCACAAGAGGAAACAATTGGAAACACACAACACGTGTAATGCATACAGCAGATACTCATAAAAATACGATTTAAAAGGCCTACAATGATCAGGACAGAAGTATCATTATTAATTTATTGTTAATTTCATGCTTAGACGTTTATTTACAAAAAAACGCTGTCTTCAAAGTGTGACATCATAAATATATCACTCTAAATAATAAAACAAAATACCAAAAAATGGATTTTCTAGTTAATATACCAATATGAAAGGAAATACTCCCTTTTATAAGTCTGAAAGGAAGTATACATGGAAACTTGCAATCTTGAGAGGAAATTTACATGGCAAAATTGCTCAAAAGAGGGTCTTTGGCGCGGCACATAGGTACTAAGAAGTATACTGCAGTGAAACCCCCGGGAAATATATCCACTACACATTAGTCCCTTTCATTCACAAAAAGAGCACAATGGCGTATACACATGGGCTTTCAAGAGACTCGTGATAGCCGATGGTATTCTTATTTTCGATAATTTAATTGAAGTTAATCCAAAGAAAAAAAATAAAAACCCCACTACTTTTCCAGTAAGAGCAATGTGTGGTCCCAGGGCAATAAGAGTGTGTGACCGTCCTGCAAACAGAGAATACATTCTCTGTAATACATTCTCAGTTTGCAGCCCGGTTTGCAGGATGGCCACACACTCTTATTATAAACCAAGAGAGCAACCTGTGGTTAGATCACAAACTAATAAAATACATAAAAAATAACCGTCATTTATCAAAATGGCTGCTCAGTGGCCAAAGTGTCATATGATAAAATAATTTCGACTATGAGACAGGGTAGATGCAAGCAATCCATCCACGTGTTTTGTCTGAAATGTTATCCTGATTTTCAACCCCTTTCATCCCTGCTTTTTTAATTTTTCTTGCATCGATATATGTTGTGTTTTGAAACACAGTTAACCACTTGAAACTAAAGGAAGAAGTGATTCCTTCAGGGGTTTTAAAGATATACATTTTTGGTGACTAAAATTAGCTGAAAGCAATGGATTGCATGAGTTTTCCCTATGGGAAAATAACATGCGAAATATTGTTTTCCACTTTATCTAAAAGAAATCAGTTATTCCTTTTAAGAAATTAAATAGCGCAACATATTAGGAAAAACATGTGGGTAGGTTGTTTGCATCTACCCTGTCTCAAAGTCGAAATTATTTATTATCTCTAGAATTGCTTTTTCTGGAGGTTATACATTAGCCTCACATATGCACCTGTTTAAATCCCCAGATAATGGCATAAATCCAACATATGACTGTCCAAAATCTGTTGCGCTAATTTTCCTTCTACTTTCAACAAAATTGCTCCAGCTACATGTATTTCAGTAATAGCATACAATAGAAAAAGGTAGAAAAACACATAAATTCTGTATTTAGGGATTGAATTATAATCTTTATGAAGCCATCATAAAATATTCTTATACAAATACTATATGACATAAAGTACACGCGTTTATTCATTTTCATTAACGTATTGCATTTTCTTCTTAAACTATCAGTTAAAATAGATACAAGTATGTGTACGCTCAGGCCCGTACAGTGATGAAAAATATGGTAATTCAGTCTATAAAATTCATTACCATAACATTCATTAATTTACATTCATATTTTGATAAATTATTTTGAGCACCTTTCAACTGTTTTCAGGGACAGCTGGGCAGCCAAACCCAGAAATCAATTGTCGCGGTCATTCGGCATTAACCTGAAAACTACGCGAAAATCGTGCTTTTCTACAGAATATAGTCCCGCCTCCAAAAATCATATAAAATGACACCTGTGCATAAATTGACTTTTAATATCGATAAACGTAATGGTTTTGGCCGATATTTCGGGAAACGTTTGGAGATATCGGGATGTAACTATATTTCACGAATAATAAGCAAAATAAGGTATGGTGGGTGAGAAAGAAGACCTCAAAGAGAAAAGTTTTGAAACTGGGTTTCGATAATTTTGAAAATTGGGGTCGTATACATGTTTTGGGCATTTTTTTCTGAGATTAGTTATTTATGTGATTTTAGTACAAAACGCACCCCCCTTAATTCGCGGACGTGATTTGAACGTTTTATTGCCCATTCTTATATATTTCTCGAGTTATCAGCCACTTAGTCAGCAGTAATTGATTTTCAGAAAAAATGTTAATTCTCAGGGATCGATTTTGACATGGTCCCCTGAAGTTGTAAACACTCAATCTCGGATGAAACCCGTAGTTAGCCGATACAAAATAACCAGTAGATGATAAAATTGACGTGTAGTTCCCAATCCCCGCATTAAGTTTTTGTTGGGAATTGATTTCTTCACGTCGAAAAAAATATGTGATCAGAAAATCAGCTAAATGACAAAAACAATTCTGAGGAAACATTAGTTCAGAATGTTTTGGGCAAATTTTTTTCTTACAGATCTGTGGTTAAAAATCTATTGATAAATAAAAAGTAGTCTAAAATACATATGATGTCTAAATATAAAAATACCTGGATAAGTACTTTTGTCAGGAGACTTGAATCAATTGCGGTCCAGTCATATTGTCGTGTCAAAATTACCCAAAATGGTGAAGCCCTGGCTTTTGAAGAGGGTCGTCTTCGGACTCGAAGTTTTCAGTATTTTTAGCCCTTTAGCAACTAATTCTTGAATTCAACGTATGCGTATGATCTAAATACGCATAAGTAAGCCGTATTGTGCATCAATTCGAAGTTCTTATGGCAATTTGAAGCCATCATCTGGAGCGGTTTCTACTCTTGAATCCGCCAAATTGCTGAAATGCCAAAGGACCTTCTCAGGTCACGTGACCTGTTTTTTAAATTTTGCATTTCAGCCACAAAACAACAACATCGGTCATTCATAAATTGTTTGTGGATGGCTTTGAGCACCAACTTGGCATTACTGTACTTAAAATCAAGAGAGAATGTCAAACAAAACAATAATCGCTAACTGTTTTATCAATTTTTAGTTGATTCCAAGGGGTCTTTCCCTTTCGTTCGTAATTTTAAAGTATCGATGGCGCTGAAAACAAATTGAACTGGCTCAGCCTATTTGAACGGATTTTAGTAGATTCATGGATATTTAGATCAACCGATAGTGTTTACAGGATTCAGGGATTCCAGGTGATTACGATGGAGTTCACGGCTTTTAAGTAAGTTCAGTATTTCTGTTACATAACGTAGTTTGAAAACAAATAATTTGAATAATGATGGTGTAATTTTTGATTTTTGAAATTTTTTAAAGTTAGAGGCAATCTCATCAAATTTCAGTATCTTTTATTGCACATAGGAATCTAGAAATTTACTCACACATTGATGTGATAATAAATATTGTATATTTGATGTAAATAGCATAAGGGTCTTGGAGTTAAGCTCGATGTCAGCGCCTCCAAATGACCCATGTTGTTTCAAAATTAGGGACCATATTTGGGTCATATTGCGCATGCGCAAAATATATAGCTATTTCTTTTGTGCATTTCCAGAAAGCAAGTTCCAGAACTCCTTGATTCTGCCTCTGCTTCGATGTGCCTACCAGATTTAATTTGTGGATTTCACAGGGGATTTCAATGTCATCTTCCCTCTCTGAATCTGAACAGCAATGCCTCATATTTGTGAATTCCCAAGACTAGATTTGCTTGTTATGTGAGTATAGGTGTAACCTTACATGTGTTGTGCAAATTCAAGAAATTAATGCTGTACAGTAACAGTGTATATTGTTGGTTTGCGACAAAGTCAAGGTAGTTCCGTAAAATGTTTACAATGTTTCTTGACC